ATTGTAAAAAATAAACAACAAAAATATACCAAACTATAGATTGTTTAAAAATCTCATTTTAACAGGTGTTTATAGTTTGTGGCTGAGTTGAAGTATTTGAGAAGCTGTCAATATTTTTTGAAAACTTCTGAACATAATTTGGAAGTTTATAACAAAAAGCAATACAGTGTTGAGCACAGAAATGGGGAATTATAATTAACATTTATATGGGAACTTGGAGGAAGATAAAAAGAGAGTTCTAGAGCAAATATTAGTAACTTACTCTTACAGACAGGCATTATTGGAAAGGTAGAACAACATACTGACTAGAATACTCACTTTGTATTATTTACTAATCAGGATTAATTTATACAAGTTCAAATTGAATTTCAGTCTTTCAGATTTTAACCCATTGTGATTCAAATGGAAATAAAAAAATTAAGTGTCCATCAAGTCTCTTAATCATACAATTTATATAGTAAAATGGATCTAAAAACTGTATCTGTAAACTATAGATAAACACATGTATATATTGCACACACATCCTGTTGGTTCTGTTTCTCTGAAGAACCCTAATAAAACCCTAATTAAATAGAACCCTAATAATAAAAGTAAATCAACAAATATAAAAGGTGTTCTCTTAAAAAAATCCAAGAAGACAAATCTCTGGCAGAAATAATACACGAAAGGAAGGCACACAATAATTGTAGAAGTGAAAGATACAAAGATTATATAGGATTACATCAATGATCTAAGTTTAAAGTAGAGGATATTTTAGAGAACTCTTTTACAAAAAATTTTAATATAATTAGCTAAAATTTTCAATGCCCTAGAAAAATGTAAATGATAAAAATAACATGATAAAACAAAGCTCATTGGTACCATAAGCATCATAGTTTGCATGAGTAATTAAATTACTTTCAACCAGGAAAACACCAGCCCTCTTGGACAAAGAAACTAATTCTATTAAATAATCCAGAAATAGAAGATTTGTACCTTCTAGCAATTAACTGAGATAAAATAAGGAGCACTTACCCCTCAAATTATTTTATGAATTTGCTATCAATTATATATCAAAACACGTTAAGGACAGAATTAAATACTAAAATATGTGCCAAATGTTTTTGCCAACTCAAATGAGAAAATACTAACAAAATATTAGCCATGACATTACACAAAGTGGAAGTTAACAGATCTTTACCATGTTCAATTTATTTTTAGGAATTTGAGATTATTTCCTAGAAGTTTTCATATCAGTTGATTTATCAAATTAACTAATTAAAAAATAAATGCAAATGATTATCCCAGTGGGTTCAGTAAATATTTAGGGAAAAAAATTATTCATGGGGGGAAAAGCCTTGTAAATTAGGGATAGAAAAACATTTACTATTCTGAAAAAATTATAATAACAACAGAAAAGAGTACTCAATGAAAAAGCATGGAAGGTGGATGGATCTTTAAAATAAGTAACACATTAAAATGCTCAAAATCACTGTTGCACATTTTTCTGAAATCTCTGTCCAGGCAATGAAATATGAAAGTTCATAAAGTTCAAGAACTGGGAAGTAAAAATCTGCTAGAATGAATGTCTTGTTTTAATAGAAAGTCTTATACCCTCCTCACCCACCCACATATGATGAAAAACAACAAAAAATACTGTATACTGCACCTACTACTAGAATTATCAAAAGAGATTGCAAAGGTGTTTGAATAAAAATAAAATCAATATTTAAAAATATTGTTAATTTTTAACAATAGAAAATGTAAGTTAAAAGATTATTTAAATAGCAAGAGGTCTCACTTGTACATATTTAAATGACATTTTTAGTCTTTACATTTTACTTTTCTGTAGAGAAAAATAAAGGAAAATCCTATTTTACGATAGGGAAAAGCTTAATGTTTTTTAAAGCAATGCTGTACACATCCAATCTAATTCCATTAAAATCTTTACCATTTTGTGTGTTTTGTGGAATTTAACATGAGTTTTTCAAAAGGTATTTCAAATACCAAATAACTAAAAATGCCCAAGTTATTACTTTCATGGAGCCCTCCTTCCACTTACTGTAAAGATCTATTACGAGTATAGGCTGTTTTAAAAGTTAATATTTTAGTTTTATATTTTAATACATGTCCTAAATAGCTCACAGCAATAAATCAAAATATTTTGCATAATAATTTTATGTCAAAGTAAGATGTTTCCTAATTAATAAATTAAAATCTATTAAAGATTTTATTTACATGTATTTTTAAGTAAGTTTCTCATAATTTGAATCCTGGTAGGCTTTACTGGCATAACGTGATGATGAAAGGTATTTACACGGATAATAATAGTGAAGAAAATACAAAAGTATCTCAAACTTATAAAATACAATTGATGTTGAAACATCATTAAATGCATTTTGACAGCCTACCAATAACTTACACAAACTAGAAAAAAATATATTTGAGTATCTGCTTTAAATATCTTGACATTTATGGCAAAATCTTTCAAAATACTTTTCATTTATGTCGAGACTAAACAAAAGAAATGGCAGTGTTTCAAGATCTTGCTACCTATATGCTGTATGAAATTAAGGAGTATTACAGGATTATTATTACATTTTAATCAAAATGGAGAGTTTGTTTTCAGTTTCCTCCACTTATTTAATTTTCATAAAGAGTAAATTAAAGTACTTTACTTTCAAAACATTTGTTCTCAAGTTTACTCTAAGTAGCAGCTAGCAAAATATAATCCATTTAATTTTTTATTTTGAACATAAAATCACACAAAGAAACTAGCACTAATTTAGAAGTTAGAGACCAAGGAATATGTCTCTTTGATAGTGTGTGACACATATAATGGCATATTACTTGGCAGAAGAGAAATAGAAATCCAGCTGTTTCCTGTAACATGGATGTACCTTGGGGTTGTTATGTTAAGTGATTTTGAAATCAGTTACAGTTTACATCTGAAAATTTTTTCTCTCAGTGTGACAGATTTCACTTGAGATACCTTTACTTCGTATATAAAATGGGGGGATAATACAATAATATCGCTATTATTGAAACTCACTAATTTACTTTAAGTTTAATTTTCTATGAAAATTCATCTGAACTTTGAAGAAAAGAGCACATTTTGATGCTCAGAAAATATATAATGATCACTATACATGCATGATTTTGAAAATCCCATTTCAAAATAGTAGTTCTTTATTACTTAGGACATACTCATCTTTTGTAATTATTTTGATGAAATATAATTGACCTATAACATTTGCAATTTTAAGGTGTACAACACATTTATTGTATTCATATATTGTAATAAGATTACCACCATAGGGTAATTACCACCTCTATCATGTCACATAATTATCTTTTTGTATGTATGGTGAGCATAATTAAACTTTTGTTGCTTGGTAATTTTGAGTTTGAAATACATATTGTTGACTATGTTCCGTATGCCATGTATTAACTCTCCAGAACTTATTTACCTACTACTCTAAGTCTGTTCTCATAAACAATATCTTCCCAGTTACACCCTTGCCCCAGGTGCTGGTAACCACCATCTTAATCTCTATTTCTGAGTTTGCCTTTTTTAAATTCCAAATATATAAATGATATCATATATTTGCTCTATCTGTCTGACTTATCTCTAAGTGTCCTTCAACAGATGACAGATAAAGATGTGCTATATATATATATGGGGCCTCCTTGGTGGCCTGGAGGTTAAGTCTCAGCGCTATCACTGCTATGGCCTGAGTTCTATCCCCAGCCAGAAAGCTAACCCACATATGGCGCAGCAGACCTCTCCTGCCTTGCCCACTGCTTCCCTTAGCAGTATATTTCAGTAAATCTCCCTGTTCTGCTCCCCACTCTGTCTCTGGTAAATCCTCTCACTTCCCCACCTGCTACTCTCCACACCTCTGGCTTACACCCCAATTCTTCAATGTGCAAAAAAGTGCTATACATGTATGTATGTATGTATGTATGTATGTATGTATATACACACACATACCACACTATCCCATTGCATGTGTATGTGTATATATGCATCTATATGTATATATATATAATATACAATGAATGAAGATGTGGTATAGACACATATAATGGCATATTATTTGTCAGAAGAAAAGTAGAAATCCAGCTATTTCCTATAACATGGATGGACCTTGGGGCTATTATTTTAAGTGACTTTGAAATCAGTCACAGTTTACATCTGAAATTTTTTTTCTCTCAGTGTTAAAAATGCAGATAGTGGCACTTTCATTGAAAATAGAAGCACAATATGTATTTGAATGAATTTGAAGTCATACAAAGTGATTATTCATACATTAAACTTATGTTGTGTGTGTTTATGTGTAGAGAGCATTTGATTCCCCAACCAGTCTCAATAAATTAGAAGCTGTATAGATGCACAGCCTTAAAATAACATGGTTTATCATCAAAGACCTTCACCTCCCAGCCCCAGCTGCTTCTACAAATATGTTTTGGTCAAAGCAATTATGTAAATTTATGTAGTGAAATTATTGCATTAAGTAATTTAGTCATCAAAACACTAATTTCTGTTATCACAATATAAATATAAAATTGATTAGAAATCATCAAAGTAGCACTATTTGCAATGGAAATGTAATTGAGATGATAAGATGAGGAAATTAATGTTGAGGTAAATGAGGTTATTTAAAACACCTTAAGTTGTGATTGCATTATTTTAAATTTCACTTTCATTTCAAGAATTCAAATAGGCAACAAGATGATAGTTAAGATAATATGATTTTCATTTTTTTGATATCACTACAATTTTAAACAAACCTATCTCTAATCAACTTTTAAGAGACATCTAAGTCTCCAATTTGTAAAGAAAATTTGAATTTAGAGATTTTGTTGCTGTAGTGCATCTACTCTTTGGTACTGCCTTCACAGACAACTTGAAAAAACTGTAAGTAATGCCATAATCACAACTCAACATTATCTTACTATAAAGTAAAACCAAAATGTCTTAGTAAGGTATACAAGAAACTGCATTAGTCTTTTCTTACCTTTTTACTTGATTTAATTCATCCACACTTTATATTAATTTTGCATTCATTCATTCATTATATATTTTCTAAAGATCTTTCTTTTAAACTGAATCCTCTTTCCTTCACAATGCTTTGCTGCTATAACTATTAGAACAAAGATAACTATTGTTATTTTGAAGTACTTATTATATCACTGCTACACTCCTAACACCCTGAATATATCATGCTGTTTCATACCTTCAAACATCTGTTCATTTTCCTTCTCTGCTAGAACACTATTTTTTACCACCATGTTCACTTGGCAAATGTTCTATAAATTATTCAGAACTCTGACCAAGCATAATTACTATGATAGAGTAGAGCTTTCACTAACAGAGTTCATCATTCATAGACATGTACTAATTCTTTCATTTTATATATGTATCCAGTACACATAGCTCCACTTGTAAGCATAAAATCTGCTCAAAAGAAAAAAAATCCTACTGTGAAGCTGAATTTCTTCCATTTAAAGATATTTACAATCCAAATAACAGCTCAGACTATAAGAGCAGAGAGAAAATCCCTATTGTCTATCATTCTGTAACAGTCGCTGCTGCTATTATTCCTTACTGACGTACAAATATTGCTATTTATGTGTTCTTTCTGACTACTCCCTCATACCTCTGAACTAGGATAAAATACCACACTGTAGGACACTGGATATGGTTTCCTTAGTTTTCCCAAATGGTCAGGTGAGATGACTTTAAGCAAGACAAATTAGGAGATTAGATAGAGCCAGCAGAGTAATCTACTCATTTCTCTCTGATTATCTACTCCTAACTTGTGTTTCCCACTATATTCTGGATTGAACAATACTCTGTAGCTATTTGGGACTTATCATAAATTGGTACTCAGTTTCAGTTTGGTAATACATTGTATTTCACTGTTTTTTCTTCATTGCCTCCCATACTTTGTCCATCAATCTGCTTACCTTGGGATAGTAATTTACAAATAAATCTTCGGCAATTAATACTACCGGATTTTTGTTTTCTCTAGCAAACGAGACTAAGGCTCTTGACATTGTACAATATTCCAGAAACTTACAAGATGGGATTTTTGATTGATTGTTCAGAATGTTGATAAGACAATACTGCAGTGGTAGGATAAGCCCTCTGTCAAGCAGAGGCATCACAATTACTTAAACTTTCCTCTGTGCGTATCTAGGATAAAACACAAATGGAAGGAAGGCATTAGGAAATGAAATTCTGCAGTTATTAATCTGGTTGAAGTCAAGGAAACAATATGAATTTGGAACTGACTGTGTGCTTAATGAAATTAAAGATCATTAAAAAAGGTTACACTAAAGCAATAGATTGATAACTGATTTTATGACCTAAAATCCACAGATTATCATGGAAACTTCAAAAATAAATTTTATCTTGTGTAGTCTTAAGGTAGACTATGCTGAAAATGAAAAAAGGAAAGTAACAACATAATTGAAGAGGTGAAAGGAGAATAAATGTACAGGCTACACATATTTTCTTTGTTTAAGTAAGGATCTTGATAGGAAAATCATGGTTCATGAATACTTGGAATTAGAACAGTTTTGAGAATTTTGAAGTCTTAGACTTCGTTGAACAAGCAAAAAAACAACTACTTTCTTTTTGCAAAACAACATTTTATTTTACATTACATGAAGAATATGTAATGATCCGACCTACAGCAGTTACTGCAAAAGAGGTGCTGTAATATTTTTAACATTAATTCCTACTACCTGTCAATTCATTCAGGGTGGTAATGCCTTAGTTAATTCCAAGAAGAAAGAAATCATGTTATAGAAAAAAAATTGCCTAAACATTGAACATTTTGAGTATATATAGGTATGTATCTTTATAATTTATTATATAATTTTCCTGATATTTAATTACATTTCTATTTATATTCATTTGACTTCTTTTCTTTTTTTTTTTTTTTTGGAACGTATAGCATTTGCCTTAGAATTGTTTCATATTCAGTTTCTGTAAAAGAATTTATTTTCAATGAAATAAAATAAAATACATTTAAAATACATGTATTGGGCCTCCCTGGTGGCGCAAGGGGTTAAGACGCAACCTATGAATGTGACTGCAGCCACTGCAGGACAAGTTCAATCCCTGGCCGGGGAGCAACCCACATGGCACAACAGACCTCTCCTGACTTGCCCACTGCTCCCCTCAGTGTATTTCAGTCAATCTGCCTGTTCTGTTCCCGACTCTGTCTCTGGTGTATCCTCTCCCCCTACCCACACCTCTGACCTGTACCCCAGCTCTTGTGTGCATAAAAAAATAAAATAAATCTTAAAAAATAAATATATGTATCTGTACACACACACACACACATTATATTCCTACCAAATTTTAAAGTGGTGGTGTGTTAGACACTAGACGAGTTGAGATAACATTCAAGAACAATGAAGGCTCAGAACAGAGTGGGGGGGAGGCACACTGGGGTTTTGATAAACAGAGATACTGCCAAGACTGTAAGACTTCTGAGAGGAGAGTTTATCTTGCTCCAAAGTATTGCAGCTAGGTAGGAGAGGAGGTCTTTTATCTGGGTACAGCCAAGGGTGAGGTATTGGAGTCTGGTTAGGGAGGGAAGGACAGTTGTCCTCCCAGGATGGAGTTAGGAGAATTGATTAAATTAGAAAATATATTAAGTTTGAGCATGTTGTCAAACTGCCAGAGATGGTTGTTAGAACTATGGAAACAGGGAAGATAAAATCACCCTGTGGTGTTGGATTAGAATTAAGGAAGAATATTAACTTGTAGTTTTCAGTCATTAGGTGGATAACTAGGTAGATAGGTAGGTAGACAGATGAATGAAAGCAGATATAGACCTAGATATGTGTGTGTGTGTTTGTGTGTGTGTGTGTTTATACTTACTTATATACCAATATTTACTAACTCTGTCTGCTAAGATGGTGTAGGAGCAGCAATTCCCTCCATGCCCTCCTCAAAAGAAGATGGTAATAAGCACCACAGCATGCCTAGAAACTCATGTCTATCCACCATTTTTACTGAACAAACCATGGCACCTTGAAGAAATGTCTGATTTGAGGACTGGGGAAGTGAAACCACGAGATGAGTCTGGAACACTTTCCAGAAAGTAAGAAAGTGCTCCAAATAAAAAATACTCCACGAATGATAAAATATCAAAACAACAACAACAAAAAGCTATCATTGGTCAAGTCTGGGGCAATTTAAAATAAAAGATAATAATCTCAATACATTATAATTCATTGCATAAAATTTAAAAACTATATTCTAATAAGAATACAAATACATTTAAAGTTGATGAACAAAACATTATATAATTGCAGGGTGTCTTCCCACAAAATAACTACAAAAAAGGAAATAAGAGTAATTTTGTAATGGAAAGACATGTTAGGCTTTACCTTAATGAAGTAATCAAAGTGAATTTCATCAGTACTGGGACAAATTGAAGCTGTTTACCATCTGTAGGATGCAGTGAAAACACAGTGTAACTGCTGTGATATCCTGTCAAGTAAACACCCCCCAATACAAATCAATAGCAAACATCAAACACATTTAAATTGATTAGCATTCTGCACAATATATGACCTGGAAGCTTATAAAAGGTCATGAATGTCAAGGAAAGAATGGGATCCTATTACCTTTGTACTCTTTCTATAATTATGAGATAGGTAAGAGTTTTCTAAATAGTTCTCTGTATTGTCATTCCCTTCTAAAATACATAATTTTATAAAATCAAATCTTGCAAAAGAGTGTCTTTTTCATGCTAATAGAATAAATCTAAAATTTCATTACCATTATATATAATCCTTGTACAGAACCAGCATTACTCCCTTGTCTAGCTTCTTCTTATGTACAAAGAAATTATTTAAAATTGAATTACTTGCTGATCATCAAACAGAACACTTTCATTTCAATTTTTTTTGTTAAATCTTATTCTTCAGAACTAGCTTATCCTTCATCTTCTCCATGAAAAATTTTTGATTCATTCAACTGGATATAATTTCTTCTTTCTCCAGACTCATATTGATCATGCTTAAGTATATCAGGCTTGCATTTTATATACATGGAAACAAGTATTTCCCTATTTATATACATCTCTAGTAAGGAATTTAGTCTATTCTCCAGAATCTTTAACCAAAAAAAAAAAAAAATAGGTGCTTACAAAATTGCTGAAAATTTGCATTATTGCTCTTCATATATTTAATTGAGAAGAGCTACAGGGAATGCATGCATAGCTAAATATGAAATTGTACAAAGAGACTCCTTTAAATAAAGTTGCTGTGATAGAGAATTGACAATAGACTCTTGAATCCTGAAAATCCATTTATATATGTATATATGTATTTTCCTTATAAAACTTCTTTGTTAATATGGTTCTATTGAGCATTTTAGTGTCATTTACTGATTCATTCATTCAACAAATAATTACTCAGCACTACACTTTATGAGGTACCTTTCTATGTACTGAGAACATGAAAGTGCACAAAAAGAGCATATTTTCTGCTATCATTGGGCTTATAATTAATTAAAACTGGTTGTATAAAATTATGAAAATTCACAATTCTCCAAAAATGCATTTATAAATATATAAAAAAACTAAGGGCAAACCACAAAGTTAGTAAAAAAGTCCAATTCCTTGTTTGAAAGCATATAATTAGAGACAGAAAGAAAAATCACTGTGAATCCCCTATACAAAAGCCAAGGAATTCTATAGACAATTTACAATAGAAAAAATAAATAAATAACCCACACATATATTCAGATTCAGAGGTATGACACTAATAACAAGGTAAAGTTCATTAGCATAACGTTTTTAATTGACTGAGTGAGAGAAAATACTACAAAATCTGTTTCTCATGAACCACTGTTGTAAAGTCACATTTACAAACAATTGGTCATATTCTTTTTCATAAATAGAGAAGTATAGTCAAATATACCCCGTAAAAAAGAAATTTGATTTATAATTTATTGTGGAGACAGTAATTAAGTGAAAAAATAAATTTAGAGACCTACAAAAGACTGAATAGCAAAACACTACTGAGATAAAAGAAAAAAAAAAGACGTATCATGTTCCCTGACTTCAAATTATCGTACAAAGTGATAGTAACTAAAACAATGTACTGGAATAAAAAATAAACACACAGATCAATGGAACAAAACTGAGAGCCCAAAAATAAAGCCAAACAACCAATTTACAACAAAAGAACCAAGAACTTTCAATGGGGCAAGAAAGTCTCTTCTATAAAAGATTTTAGGAAAACTGGACAGTTATGCAAAATAATGAAACTAGATTACTATTGAACAGCATCCACGAAAGCTAATCAAACTGTTGGCTAGACTTGGATGAAAGACTGAAAACCATAAAATACATCGGAGAAAACAAGGGGAATATGTCCTAGACTTTGGTCATAGAGATGTGTGTGCAGCTTGACTCCAGCAGCAAAGTAAACAAAAGCAAAAATAAATGAAAGGGGCTACATCAGACTAAAAAAACATTTGCATGGTGAAAGAAATTTACATCAAAATAAAAAGACACTGTGGTAACTGGGAAAAGATATTTGTACATCATACATCTGACAAGGTTTTAATATCCAAAATATGCAAGAACTCATGAAACTGGAAAACAAACAAATAAACAAAACAAAAAGCCTGTTTAAAAATGAATAGCGGAATGGAATAGACACTTCTCCAAAGAAGACAAACAGATGGCCAACAGGCACATTAAAAGATGCTCATCACTTCTTACTAGGGAAATGAAAATCAAAACCAAAATAAGAGATCACCCCACATCTGTGAAAATGGTTATTGCCGAAAGAAAAGAAACAGCAAACCTCGGAGAGAATGTGGAGAGAAGGAAATATTTTAACACTGTTGGTGGGGATATAAATTGGTGCAGTCACTCTGGAAAGCAGAACAGAGATTCCTCAAAAATATTGAAAATAGAAATTTCATATGATCCAGTTTTCCTGCTTCTGTGTATTTACCTGAAAAATAAAAAAAACACTAATTTAAAAAGCCATATCATCCCCATTTTTATTATACATTATATACAATAGCCAAGATCTGGACACAACCTAAGAGCTCACTGACAAATAATTGAATGATGAAGGTGTGGTAGATACATACTTAAAGGAACACTACTATGCTCCAAAAAGGTGATGCTCTCCGACCATTTACAGCAACATGAATGGACATAGAGGTCTCATGCTTAGTGAAATAAATCTATCAGAGAAAGATGAACACCATAGGATTTCACTATCATGTGGTATAAAGAGAAACCAAAAAATAGATGAATTTAAAAAATAAACTATTAGACTGTTAGAACAATTAGTGGTTATGAGAAGGGAAGGGGGAAGATGGATGGATCATTCAGGTCAAAGGAGACACCTGTATGGTGAAGGATTGAATTGGACTCTTGGTGGTGATGTTAATATAGTATATACATGAGGCGTACCTGAGACATACAACAATGCTCAAAGAGAAATGAAAATTAAATATAGTTTAATTTACCGTGGTGATAAATGCAATGGATAAAAACTACTCTGTTATACATACTGCCACCTCTCTCTCTCTGCCATATATTACATATCTGAGGTTCATTTGTTGCTGTGTGTGGTAATAGTGTATTCATTATTAAGTACAATTTTTGTATCATAGATTTTGTGCTCACAGGAGATATCATATCATGATTATCTTTCCTTGTCAGCTTTTGTCTGTAGTATTAGAGTTAAAACTTCCTTGTAAAATAATGAGAGTAATTCCTTTCTTTTTCTATTCTCTGAAACAGTTGTATAGCATGAGAATCTGTTGGTTTGGATGGTGGTGATTAGTAAGAAAAGGCAATGGATTAAATGTGTTCTACTTGGATGTGATTATATGTTTCATTTGGCATACTACAGTTGACAGTCTTACAGAACCTTTAAAAATGCTCATTTGCAGGAGGTGCTATCAAAACTACTGCCTTTATACCAATTTGTACTATATTTTTGCAATCTCTGATATTTCACATTACACATTGAGATTGCTTTTAGTGCTGAGGAAATTGAGGTTGATAATACATTTTTGTTGAACATATTTTCCTTCCTCAAAATAATGGCTAAAGGATCTTAGGGGGGGGGAATATTGCAGATATTTCTGAACATTTGTAAAGTGAACATTACCAATGGCTGTAGTTAAATTTTCACATGTCTCTGGAAATTTCAGAGCTGACAGGTGACTTTTTAATATCTGGCCAATCAAAACATTTCACTCAGCTTCTGTAATTTCATATATACTTTTGGTATTCCAAGAGTCATAAAAATTACAATTTACATTTTATAAAACACTAATACATTTTCATTTATATTTTTTATTCTAATTTAGTGGCTTTGCTTTTAGAATATCACATGATCATATGAAAGAAATAGAAGTTAAAATATGTTCCTAGTAGGCTAAATGTTTTAATAAATGAAGGTTTTGTGGTCATGATAAATACAAAATAAAAGATTTATCAATATTTAGGTTTTCCTGATGTTAGGCATATTTTAAAAGAATTTTTGCATATTAGTATTTATAAATTTACAGCAATGTAAGTATTTCATGTATTCATTATTGTTTAATGGTGAATTTCCAAGTTTCTTAATGTTTTTATTTTGTATCTATTTATTTTAATATGACTATTTTCTCTACAATGCTAAACTAGAATTGATTGTTCATGAGTCAATAATCAGATTTAATACAAGAAGTTATTGTGAAAGTAATTGATATCTCTATTGCAAACTGTTTTAAAATCAAAGTTTTACAGCTGCTTGGAAAAATCACTTAAATGTGAATTATAATTTAATTCACTTTTCATGCCTTGTTATAACATGTATCAACTTAGTAAAAACAATGAAAATTGTGACACAATATTCATGAAATTTAATTTAGCTAACTTCATGTCATCAATTATTATTATAATAAAACTGAATATAATTAACTTTTACATATTTTTCTCCTATTCAGTAGGGAATCTTTTTGTTTCAATTACAGTTTCTTTTGTGTGCAGAAGCTTTTTAGTTTGATGTAGTCCCAGTTGTTTGCATTCTCTTTTGTTTTTCTTGTTGTTAGAGACAAATTCACAAAGATTTCACTGAAGCCTTTTTCGTGGAGTGTCTCATCTATATCTTCTTTTACATATTTTATTGTGTCAGGTCCTACACCATGTCTTTTAAATATTTTGAATTAGTTTTTACCCTTTGTGTGAGACAGTGATCTAGTTTCAATCTTCAAGAACTTATTGATATTTGTTTTGTTACCCAATATACCCAATATATGCTCAATCCTGGACCACTTGCACTTTTGAAGAATGTGTTTATAGTTGGGGAGTTCAGTGCCCTGTATATATCTATTAAATCCATGTGATCTAATTTTCTGTTTAAGGCCCTGTGTCATGGTTATTTTATATCCCCAGAAAATAAACTCCTCAGCCACTAATGTTCATTACCAATGTCTGTTTTCAGATTTAATAGTAATCACCTCATATATTCTGATGTTGCTTTGTTTAGAGTAATAGATATTTAAGAGTGTTATGCATCTTGCTCCCCTAATCATAATAGAGTGTCTATCACTGTCTTTTGATAACTTTTTTTAAAGCTGGAAATCTATTTTACATGATATAAGTATGGTAGTTCCAGCCTTCCTTTGTGCCTATCATTTGCTTGTAGGATTATTTTTGAAACCTTTACCTGGAACCTGAGTTTGAATATTGTATTGTGTTATCTGGAGACTCCAGAAAGTTGGATTCTGTTATCTAATCCAATCAGCCATTCTGTACCTTTTAATTGGTGAGCTCAGTCCATTTACATTTAGGGTGATTATTGATGTATAAGAGTGTGCTACTGTTGTTTTGTCCTTTGCTTTCAGGTTTTATCTATTCTCTTGCTTTGTTCTTTGTGGATGTTTTTCTCGTTTATTTAGATATGAGAGCTCCTTTCAACATTTCTTGGAGAGTGGGTCCATCACCTTCTCTTTGTCTAAGAAGGCCTTTATTTCTCCCTCTTATCTGAGGTGGAGTCTTGCAGTATATAGTATTCTTGGCTGGCAGTGTTTCTTTAAGCATTTTGTATACATCATTCCATTCTTTCTTTGCCAGTAGTGTTTACTCAGAGAAGTCAGATGTAAGCCTGATGGGATACCTTTAGAAGTTATCTGTTTCCTCCCCTTACCCAACTTCAGTATTCTTTCTTTGTCTTAAACACTTGAAAGTTTAACTGCCATGTTTCTAGGTATAGGACTCATTATCTTTTAGTAGCCAGGTGTTCTTTAGGCTTCATTGGCTTATATATCTGGTTCCTTCCCCAGGTTTGGGAAATTTTCTTTATTATTTCTTTGAATAAACTCTGTTTTTTTTTTTCTATCTCTCTTCCCTTTCTGGAATACCCACTATTCTATATATTACCTTTCCCCAAGATTTGGAAATTCTTTTTTTAAGAGTTTTTTAACTTTCAAGAGATTTTAGAGGGCATCTCATTCTCCCTCTTCTTATTCTACTACCTAGTAATGTATATATTTTAGAAGTTTAATGATATAAAGATTATGTTTAAAGATTGTGTATGTATGCATAAATACACATACTTTTTCATCATCTTCAAAATATAGTTGCACAGAACAATATATATAAATAGTAATTAATATGTCACTTGTAAAGAACATTGATATAGTCAATACTGGATATTAAAAGTTTAGCTAGTCCACTATTTTGCTATTAAATTGATGGGTAGGATTATAGCTAGATTAGAGATTTGATAAGCACATGACCACATTTACAAAAGCATGTCATATTTATGTTTTTAAATTTACTTGGAAAAATAATTTTAAGTTTAAACATCTAGAAATAATTCTTTGATATTTCTTTAAAAAATGAATTCTTAAACAGATACAAAAATGTTAAAATATTCATCTCAACATGAGTCCTCAAAATATATGTCTTAGAATGAGTTCCCTGCTAACATTTAAAATGGTCTTGAATTATTTAATATATTTCTACTTTCCTCAATGAATCATGGCACAATAATTTTTTTATGAGTTCAGTCATCACTAAGATAGAACTTTAAGGTTTTTAGCATTCACTTCATTTTTACTTTAAAGAAGAATAAAATCATTCCTCAGCTCTTTTACACTGCATTTCTCTAAATTGATGGGGACATGTAATGAGGACTGTAATACCTATGATGTCACAGTTTTTATATAAGTGTGAAGTTAGGACATGTATAATATAATATTTGGATTTTTACTGTATTCTGTTCCTGCTGAGGCATCAAAACTCAAAAAAAAAAAAAAAAAAAAAGGAAAGGAGGAATAGGAATAGCCTGAACTGCAGGAGAATTTATATAAAATCAGACTTGAAATTGTCTCAAAACAATCTGATGACTGGTAGCCCATAACAAACCTCAAGGAAATATAAAATTAAGGTAAAAACTTGATCAGGAACTCAATAGTGGGAAATTCTTCATCTAACATTGACTTTGGGTGTTGTGCTTTTCCTCTATTATCCCTCAAGTTACATGAAACAATTTTTAAGATTTTAATTAAAAAATCCTAAGATGTGTTCTTTGAACTTATACTTGAGTGTTCACAGAGATTTATACTTGAGGGTTTTATTATTTGTTTCACCCAGATATCATCAAACTTGATCAAAGTTGGCAAAGGAGTCTTTCAACTCACTAGATATCAGCAGTTGAGTTAAAGAACATCTCTTCTTTGGAAAATAATCAAGAATTTCCAGTGGGTGCTAACTTGGTTGGGACATATAATAATCCTGTATGTAAATCTGAAGTTATCTAAGCTTTAAGAATGTCAAATGACAAGCAAATCAAATTAGCAGAAATGTCAAAAATGACAGCTTTTATCTGGAATGTATGAATTCTCAGCAACCATCAAGATGCCTCTAGTTTGTCAAATAGAGAGTAATAGAAGTACTGGGAAGTTAGGGTCTCCATTTAGAGCAGAAATAAAACACTACATAATACTGTCGTATTCAGGAATAACTTAGTAAGAGTGCATAAGTTTATATTTACAACCCTAAGAAGGGCTGACTAGAATGTTTTTTAAATCATTTTCGTTGCTGTTGAATAGACTGCATGGATAAAAAGTAGGACTTGCACAAACCCTTTTTCTCAAGTGAAAAATTAAAGAAACTTGTATCCACAGACAACATAGTGTTTAATTTAAACAAACAAAAACTTTTCTCTCTCCGGATTACCTCAGAACACTCTGTTCTATATCAATTGTTATAAATGTATATCTGCGTTAAAGAGAGACAACATACAGTTTTTAGACTGAAATTTATAAAAATTGATACAAAGGTGTCAAATTAGTTGTCTTTTTGTCTAGAACTGTAATGTAAGACTGAAAATATCAAGTGTAAATTATGTCACCAAATTGATTAAAAATCTTTTATTTAAAAATATGATTTTATTCATTGTTTTAATAATTTATATTGCATATATTCAAAGTATTATTTTGACTTTAACCTAGAATTATATGTCTTTCATGACATACTATGGAAATCTCTCTGAAGAAAGTTCTTTGGAGAAAACAAAGAAAAGTACTGTTATAAACTTACAGGTAAATCTGAAAAATGTTAAATTCTGAACTAATAAAGCATCACTAACTTTAACATTTCTTGACAAGATAATTTGACATTATATAAATGGTCTAGGTTTTCTTTTTCTGATGTAATAAAATTCATTACTTCAAATTTCAGAGTCAATAAAATTTAGTTAATGCATCCTTTTTCATCTCCTTCCTATTAAAAATTACTCAGGAAACTATATGTGAAATGACTTTTAATTCTTCCCAAATGACTTTCTGTGAATCAGAAGAAAACTACTTTTCCAATTATTTTATGTAGGTGAAGAACTCATTCTCTCAGCTTTCAGCCTCATTAATGCACTTATGATAAATGGGATGTTGAAATTATTTGCTTTTGGCCAACTTTATCTTCATGGGAGATTTAAACAAGAAGTATCAAGAATGTAACTACAGTTAGAGGACTTTTTAAAAGGCAAGTTACTTTTTACCTATTATATTATTTTTCAAAATATTGTCTCACCCTTGTAGAAAAAAATGCTAAAGACTATTAGGCTTAATTTGGTTGATGGAAAGACAGTAACAAAAGAGATGTGGTTAGAACTGGACACACAGGTTAATAACTTTTAAGGAACTCCCTTCCAGAGATAAAGAAAATCTTTAGCATGCAAATAGCTTTCTTTTTGAAAATGTCTTTAACTGTGTCTTATCATCTTTGGTCCAGTAACTCTGTCTAAACTGAATAATTAATACTAGTTTGAGTGTCATTACAAATAAATGAGTCAAGATAATGCTAAATAATTATATAAGATAGTATAATTAGCTTTGTTAATATAAAAATAGGTTATGAATAATTCTTACATTGTATACCATTGAAGTAATTTTCAGAAAAGACTAATAAAGACCTAACATGAAAAGAAAAACTAAATTATTTAGAGTATTCTCTATGACTAGCTTAGTTAGAGAAAATATTTCAAATATAACTTTTTTAAAATTTAAGATTGTATAAATATAAGACATAAGTAAAACTGTATAAATTTTAATGAATTAAAATAAAAATCTCTGAATATATACAGCACAGATATTTTTTAAATTGCAAGAGAATGTATCTATATGTGTATATATACTAAATATATGTATTTTACATAAAATCAAAAACGTTATCAAATTAGTATACTATGGTATATACAAAGAGATGAATAACAGTAAGAGAAACACCAACCAATAGGATAATACATTAGGGCTATACAATGACAGTCCAAAGAAGAATGACTCCAAATGGCTAATAAACATAGGAAAAGGTGCCAAGCATGACAGGAAATTGGTGAACAGTAAATAAAATCAAAAGCAAAATAAAAACAATGAATTGCAATTTTATACCCATTAACCTGCAAAAATTAATATTTGATAACATCGATGTTAGATGGGGAAAATGAGCTCTTACGTATTGCTAATGGGACAGTAGTCAGTACAATTTGTTAAAAGAGAAATTTAGAAATACCTGGAGGATTGAGAAGTGGGTACCATAATCTGGCAATCCATTTCAAAGGACTTTACCATTTGGAAATTCTGTATAAGAACATAAGAATCGTGCTCATTTATGACATCACTGTAGAAGTTGAACATGGCAAAAAACCTACATTTGTTTAAGGAATTACATGATTCAATGTTGATTTATTCACATGATAGAAAGCAGCAGAGCAGTTCAGGTGAATAGAGTAGGTCTATACACATATATAAATGAGTCTCAAAATCATGTTTTTAATAGGTAATTTTCAAATATCAACTTATTTTTTATGGACTTTGCATATCAGAATAGTCCATACTTAGTAAAACTGAGCCATATGGAATTGATAATTATTTTTTTACCAACAATAATATTTTCTATGATTCAAAGTAAGGTCCAACAATAGATAAGTGCTAAATAAATATTACATGAAAATGATCCATCTCAAATTAGTATAATTTTCATTCCTAGGGCAAGAGAAGTTAAAAAGGAAATCAGGTTTCAACTGTATATCAAAATTTTGTTTATTTAAAATTAAAAAAAATTAAATGAGAAAAATATTCAAGTAATAGTTGGAATATTATCAATTATAAAGAAAATCAGATATGTGAGAAAATTATGATGCCTCCTGTAGCAACTATCCTAACATCCCATTAAATAAATAAATATTACAACATAATCTAAAACATCCTAGAATGCTTTAAAGAGGTGAAAATTAATTTTAATTTTAACTGAATCTAATTAAAGTTCTAAAGAGATTATTTTTTCATTTGAATATTGAAACATTTTTATTTTATTTTAATTCACCAAAAAGTGTCTAGAGCAAAAATATTTGATAACTGAGGGAAACTTTTAATATTGTACATATTACTTAGGGTTCTTCTGAGAATTAGTAGGGTGTGTGTGTGTGTGTGTGTGTGTGTGTGTGTGTGTGTGAACATATATTTGTAGTATATAGGCTTTCCTGAGCCTCTAACTTGTCAACTCAATATACTGAGCCAATTGTGGGAGCCAATTCCTTATAATAATTATCTTTACAATATTAATTTATATAGCATATTATTATTACATACAATAATTACTAAAATAGAAATGTGAGTATTTATATGAGTAAGGTAATAATAATTAGTATTTTCAATAGTAATTTTCAATTGATAACAAAATAATTAGTTAATATTAAATGACTATACATACTAGTAAATAATTACACTATCTACATAATGATTTCATCATATTTCTGAATATATTGTATAATATATAACAATAAATTTATATTTTATAATTATATATTAGCTAAGCCATACATATCAAAGATATGTATGTTTTATTTAATATATGTATGGTTTATTATTTTTGAGAAATTACTATAGGGACTACAATATACATCCATAAACATTCACAATTCACTTAGAGTTAATATTGCAGCACTTAAAGGAAAATGTTGAAAGCTTACAAGTCTATAATTAATTCTACCTTCTCATTATGTTACAATGAATGTTACAAATCCTGTATGATGGTATGGAATTTTTATGCTTATATTCTCTGAATTCTGTTTTGGTATATCTTTTGTCATTTTGAGGGCTACATTTGTCATTTCATTTATTTTATTTCTTATTGTATTGCTTTTTTATTGTGTAACATTGGTTCACTGTATGTGAATGAAGAGGTTCATACCTCTTCACATATATGTTACCACATAACACCCATAATCCTCTACCATAATCCATTGAGCCACCTCCCCTCATGCTCCTCCTGCCTCCCATCTGGTAGCCTCAATTTTGTAGTCAGAGTTCTAGGATTTGTTTTGGTTTAGTTTTGCCTGTTCCTTTGTTTTGTTTCTCTATATTCTACATATGAATGAAACATCTGGTATTTTTCTTCTGACTTAGTGCACTTCGCATAATTGTGTTTTTCTTAATAAATTTTCTGTATGTTTTATAAGCACACAAGTCTATAAATTATTTCTAATCTTTTTATTTTATCTAACTGTATTTAATTAAAGGTTCACATGGATATATATTAATCCTGTTTGATATATATATAAATTTTATGATATATAAATATATAAATATTAATATTCTTATTGAAAGAAGAAATTTATTAAAAGTGTCTTGTAATAAAAAGTACTAGTTTTTTTAAAAGATTATTTATTTATGCATATAAGAGCTGGGGTACAGGCTAGAGATGGGGCGGGGAGGATCCACCAGAGACAGAGTGGGGAACAGAACAAGCAGACCCACCGAAATACACTGCTGAGGGGAGCAGCAGGAGAGACAGGAGAGGTCTGCTGCACCATGTGGGTTACTCCCTGGCCGGCCAGGGATCAAACTGGTGCTGCAGAGGCTGTGGATTGTTTCATAGTGCAGTGCTTAACCCCTTGCGCCAGCAGGGAGGCCCTAAGTACTAGTTTTAGAATTAGCTTCTTTTAAAAAAAAATTGTAATTAGTTTTATATCAACTAAGTTTTTTTTCAGTGCAATGTCATCAAATGTTCTGTCATGAAAACTGAGCTAGGGGACTCTCCGTTCTCCTTGGGTATGGCATAGAAACACGTGTTTTACTTAATATTTAAGAAAAGTATAGATAATTGAATTAAGCTCAAACACTTCAAAATTTTAACTCATTCAAAAGCTTTGAAGTTGATTAATAATTGGTTTATGAGAATATACATGACATAGTTTAAAGTATATTTTGTTAAGTTTATATTTTTAAGTGAAACTGTTATGCTTTAATTATATCCTATATGTCATTATGAACTTTTCTGGTACTCTACTGCAGTCTGAATATCTTGAAAGAATAATAATGAGTCATAAATTTATTAAATTTCTCTATCCTTAGTGATATAACTAAGAAGAGAAAGTAAAGAACAAAAGTTTTAACAATTTTTATACACATTAAGCTGAAATTAACATTCTTGTTTGTATTATAGTTTATTATAGCTTATAAATCCTCCCTTTGCTTTAAAATATGTTTTACAAGGACTTTGGAGTGAACACAATCATAATTTTCTAATTTGTTTCATTATCATATTCCAGTTACTATAAAAATATTTTTCAGGGGAAGTTTCTGAATAAGCTGAAACTATTCCACTTTTCAAAATGTTTGAGCAAATGTAGACTAGTGGATTGAATCATACACAAATGTTTAAAATGAAAGCATATATTTTACATATAATAGCTATCTGTCTGGAATATGGGCTTTCAAATATTAATTCCTTTGCAAAATGTATTACTTTATGTTGCTTAACACTTTCAATTTGGAAAATTCTTTTGAATTGTAGATAGCTAATTATGTAAATTTGTAAATATTATGATCAGAACATTGAATTACATTAGTATTAAAATAAAGTCATATGTTCTTTTATCAACAACAACAAAAAAACAATAACAAAGTATTTCAATAGAAATGCCAGAGAAAATAGTCATGGAAAAAACTTGTATTTAAAATTCATGTCGATGCTTTGAACAATCTCTTATTTTTATGACTTTGTGAACTAGGATTATATTTAGTCCCTAAAATATAAAGGTAATAAAAGATGAATCATGAGCATTCATTTTTAGTTTTTAAAACTAATACAGCAGAACACTGAGAGTTATAAACACTAACATAGAGAGAGTTATAAACACTAACAATAGAGAGTTATTGATGACTAATGTATTTTTTAAGTGATGAAGTAGAAAAATTGTGCAAAAGAGCAATAATTTTCTTCTCAAATTTTAAGGAGTTTAAGTTGACTGAATAAAATAATAAATAGATATGATATTTATTATAGTATCAAATGTTTCCAAAATAACTAAAAACAAAACAAAACAAAAAAAAAAAACTAAAACCAAAAAAAAATTGGAGGAAGAAAAATTAAGACAGTAAATAGAGCAGGGTGAGTTAAAGAATGGGGAATCTGAGATTTTATGAACACAGTTTAGTTTGAGATATAACCCCCTAATAATAGAATAAAAACAAACATTCTAAAGTAATTACAACCAAAGACATACTAAAAATGGGAGCAGATTGAGAAACTACCAGTTATCAGTTTATCACCTTCTGTGATGCTGAATGTTCATCCCCATGTTCATGATCTCGAATTTTAAAAATATCTTTATCTACGTTAGAAGTATGAGTGAAGTTTTGGGTAAATTTTCATGAGACAGTGGAATGTGTGCTGATTACCCTTAGAGAGAGATGAATTTTAATTGTTTCTCTGTCTTTAATTAGTCCTAGAATTCTGGATACATTTCTTAATCACTTTGTGTCTTATTTATGTTTTAGGAAAGTACAGTAACTATAGAATAGCTATTTACTTTCTTTTTTACAAAATGATATTTTACATTCTTAAATACCCTTTTAAAAACAGTGTTTTGTAAACTACCATGATATTTTGATCAGAGTTTTGGTCTGTAGTTTCATATTCCTCATTCTTGTAGCTTTATTGTATTCATAAACCTTGTGGTATCAAGTAAGAGACTTACTACCTAAATAAAGTACTGATGCTGTGTAAAACAGTAGATGATTGGCATAGTATTTTATACAGCATGGAAAGCCAATGATGCGTAGAACACTGACTTGACTAAATTAAATATATCATACACCCAAATAAAAATGTTGCCATAAGTATAAGGTAACATCTAAAATAGTATGTTTTTTGGGGAAACTTGAATGACTTTCAGCAAAAATTATAAAGGAATAACTTGGATACTGTATCTGGGCATTAGCAATAGTTTCTAGAATTATCTGTATATGTTATGGGCAAAAATATATGTGTTAGGTTAAAGGATTCATAATATTAGCAACTATAATTTTATTATAATTTTAATTAATACAATTAGCTCTTCTGAAATTATACAACATTATCCAATAAGACATAACAGTATTTTGGTCCATTTTATTGTTAACTATAAACCTTAAAGTAAAAAACATACATGTGTCATTAATTACCACTTATTCTCAGTTATATAATATTTATTGTGAATAATATCATTAAATTATATAGTCGATTTCAATGGCATCATATATTAAAATATTTGAATGACAAGTCTATATTTAATATAAAAGACATTT